AGTGAAGGAACTTTATTTTAGCAAATTCTAAGGTTGGAATCCTATTATATACTCCTCACTATCCAAGTCTCCAAATTTCCCAATGTCTAGTTCTAAAATGATGAGAAATAAAACTTTGATTGTCAACATGAACTAACTAATCTCGATTTTACACATTTTAGTGAGCAAATGACTGGCAAAGCCAAAATACAAAATCAACCACCCACTTGATAATTTGATGAAAAAAGAATCAAGCACCAGGAAAGGAAACTAGAGTCGATACCCACATTGGAATTAAGAGTAAACCCATCAAAATGGAATGAATACTAGCACCAAAAATGGAAAAAAGAATCAAGCACCAGGAATGGAAACTAGAGTCGATACCCACATTGGAATTAAGAGTAAACCCATCAAAATGGAATGAATACTAGCACCAAAAATGGAAAAAAGAATCAAGCACCAGGAATGGAAACTAGAGTCGATACCCACATTGGAATTAAGAGTAAACCCTTCAAAATAGTACTAAAACTCACCTGAGATCAGAAGCACCGCGAATTACATGATAATTGGTGACGATATGACCCTGTTTATCCCAAACAAAACCCGAACCCGACCCTTGCGGCACCTCCAGCACATCCAGAGTAAAGGCGTCCTGTCTAAACGCGCACCAGAAACCATTAAAACACTATTCAATTCACCTTATAGAACCACTCTGAAGATGCAGGTACAAGACAACAACAATGCCGAGTAAACAGAAATTAGCAAAATATTAACAGCCCAACTAAATAGGAACCGAAATTAGGTACCTGACAGCGAGATTGGTGATGTAAACAACAGAGGGGGTGTTCTCTTGAAAGAGACGAACAGTAGCGAGCTCATCGGACTGCAGCTTACGAGGGGTTGTGACGACGAAAGCTGAAGCCGAGTCGACGTCGGCGATAAACAAAGAGAAAGATAAGGCAATAGAGGTGCAAAACAGAAGTAGTGACTCAAGAGCCGAGGAGAAGGGTTTTCTGCTGAGGAGGAGATAATGGAGGTAACGGGGATTGCCCTTCGGAGTCAGAGAGTTGTTTTGAGAGAGAAGCGAGACGACTTGACAGGTGGGTTTGGCGCATTTTCTGTGGAGAAAGAGGGATTTTGATGAGGAGTGAGAAAAGTTGTGTCCTTGTCTGTTTGGGGAACGAGAAAATGTGTAGGGAGAGTGGAGGACGAAAGTGGAAAGGAATGAATGGGCGGCCATTTTGTGTTATGGGAAATGGGATTCGGATTTGTTTGATGTTATTAACGAATTATCAGCAGTTCTCTCAGAATTTCTTGAGACTTCTTTTTTTTCTTATATTTTCTGGTAAATTTCTTGAGACTTTCTGTTCTTGTTCAGTTTAACTTTTCCATTGGTGGATCATTCTGTGGAAAGGAAGTAGCAGAGACGGAAATAAAATAAATTGCTTAAATGGATATTTTCTATTCTAATATTTAAATTTAGAAATAAATTATTTACGGATCAATAGTTTAGTTTTTTATTTTAATTATTCAATTAGATTTTTTGGTTACATTTGATAATCTTATAAATTGTATGTCACGTTTTTTGAATGAAAAAGGTGGTAACTTAATAAAATTAATTCACTGCTATATGAGTTTTTGAAAATAAATGTTCTTTCAGAAGAAAGTAAATTTTTAATTAATTCATTAAAAAATGAGATAGAAACCAAAAATTTTCAGTCTCAAAACAAAAGTTTAGACAAATTAATTTATAAAATATGTTCTATTGTGTATATTAATTAAATAAACTTAAATTATTTATTTATATATTTAGAAATCTCATCGAACATAAACTTCAATTGATTAAAAAAAAATTAAAAATTCAGAGATTAAAGAAGACATCATGACAAAATCCAGCATGATTCATGTAATGATAAGATTGGGCATCTTCTTGAAGCTGCCAACAATGAAGTTGAAAAAGCCAAAATTATGTTTGGCAAATTGTCTTCAATAGAAAGAAAATAATTGAAGAAAAAATGATGAAAATATTGTGCTTACGTTCATTTTAGAGAAAGATTTCGTTAAGATTTTTGTTAATTTTAAACTTATTAGTTTGTACAATATTATTTACAAGATTTTTATAGAGATTCTTACTTATTAGTTCAATACAGTAATAAGACAACTAATTAAAATGGATCAATTTAATTTTCTCCCTAAGTATCAAATAACCATAAATTCATCTTGTGAATTGAGCTACAACTTGTTAGCCCAGAAAATGGGTGGCATTAAAGTTTGTGATATGAGGATCTAAAATGTCGCTCTCCTCATGAAGCTCGTATGTTATTTTCTCACATAATTTGGCAGCCTTTAATTTCATGTGATTAGCACAAAACATCTTTTAAATTAGAGCATTTGGATATCGAACATGTCCAAAATTGTGGTTGAATTATATAAAAGCACATGATTAAACATATTAAGTGCTCAAGGCAGAGGATCAGGTGGGAGATTGGTATGGAAGACATTAATTTATGGAGTGATACTTAGGTTAGAGCCTTATGCATTTATTTTCCCCATTTTCTATGCTATATTCCTAATATGCAAGCTGGAGAAAAACAATTCATGTCTGTTAACCAAAATATGTGTTGGAGGTGGAGTGAGTTCATAGACCTCCTCACAAGTTTATTTTGTCTTAAGACCACTAATATTAGGGTCAACATAAATTCCATAGAACGAGTCATAGTAGTCCTGATACACTCGAGTGGTGACAGGTTCTCAGTCAAATCAGTATATAATTTGTTAAGCTTACTCTAGGAGATCCCTTCATGAGGTGCACTAGGAAACCTAGTCTTTTCCTATCTTGAAAAGGAGTTGTCTATTCATGTGGCTAGCAGACTTGGATCGCCCCCTTACAAATACTAAAAGGAAATGCTGAAACTTGAGTAGGAAACACTAGTGCCCCTAGTATCACATTAGTAGAGAAGACATCATTCATATTATCCACGACTACCTATGCTAAAATAAGTATGAAGAGATTTAATTGATTTAAATTTTTTAATAGTTTTTTCTCCATTCCTTTTGAAAGGTGGATCAAGTGAAATTTGTAAACAAATGCCAAGATTGATGGCTTTGCTAGTTGGAAAGCTAATTTTCCTATCACGACCTAGATTATGTGAAAAAAGAGGAACGAGATCAACTTCGAGAATGTTGATCGCTATAAGACTCATTCAAGCACTCTATCTCATTTGATTGTCGTTGGAATACCAAATAGGGCACAATAATCCACAAGCTCATTTCATTCAGAAGGACCTGTCTAAATTTCCATGGGTGGAATAGATAGCTCCCCATTCGACTTGGTTTAAGCTTAATGCCAACGTCTTTATTCGTAGTAACTCTGCATACATTATTACTGGTGGCCTTATTAGAGACAAATACGATCACTGGGTTATTGACTTTTTATGCAAACTCAATATCAACAGCTCGTTGTTAGCTAAAGTTCATAGAATATTGAAAGACCTTAAGCTTACCTGAAGAAAATGGATTATAAGTTTATTTTTTGAGGTCGATTCTTTATATGTTAAAAAGCTCGTACAAAATCATAACAAGAGGAGCTCATCAATCTCATGCTTGGATGCTAAAATTAAGGTCATTCTTAATTGGAACTAGGATATCTAGATCTTATATGTCCATAGAGAAGACAACTATTTTGTTGGTTATTTGATCCAATAGACCCACTGCACACCAAAGAAACATACCAAGATCTAACATGCACATAAGAATTTTCGTGTATCCCTCTATCTTTATTATTGTGAAGTAACCTGAGTCCATTTAATCGAATATTGCATCTATTTTTGTTTTATAGTTTTATCCTTTATTTGTAACAAAAAAAAAGGTATATCCTCATATCTCAATCTCATGGCTTTATACAATTATTAATGAGAATCAAGAATTAAATTTATCTCAATATATGGGAATGGTTAGGAATATAAAATGATGAGGTGATGGACTCATGAATGGCACCACTTAAGGGGTTTACAAACTCAATTCTAATAACCCTATATGCAAGGAAGATTGAATGGGGCTTAGAATAATTTAAAAAGGCTGTGCTGATTGGATAACATATGCAGTTATGTGCTAAATATTTATACATCAATCAGTTGATTGTAAAAATGTAAGTGTTGCTATATGAGCTTGATTTTAACAAATAAAGGGACTCCAACATATACTAGTAGATGGAAATTCACGAATAATAGTTAAAAAATTCAAATCAAATAAAAAGTTTTTTATAGAATTTGATATATCACAAGAGAATTTGAAGATACTGTTCTTTTTCTTTTCATTTTTTCATTCTTAAATTGTTTAATATGATAGCTCATATTTTAATAGAGAAGCTCTTTACATACTCTAATCTACTTTTTACGTACAAAATCCAAGTGATAGTTTGATGTTTTGCTTGAGTCTTTGATTAATAAGTGACATTTCACTTGAGAATAAAGAATGGAAAAAATACTAGAACTACTAAAATATAAAAATTATTTATTTTAAAAGATAATTAATTAGAAAAAGAATAAAAGATTAAAAAAATAATTAAATCTAAAAATAAAATATAGACATGTTAAACTTTAACATTATAAATTGTCGACAATAATAACCTCACATGTTCTGAAATACAGTTTATGGGTTAAATGGAAGGATTTGAATGTCCTGAAAATGTCGAACTGTTCTTTGGGCATATGGGCTACAAGCCGAAAAAAGAAACAGAAGAACACAATTGACCCTTTTCCTTCCCCTTTTCTTTTAAACAGATAACCACAAAAAAAAAAAAAAGGAAAAATAAATGGTCCATCCTCTTTGCTAATCTAGATCCTTTGTTCTGATGAAATACTAATTTAAATATTTGAGTACAAAACTAAAATACACTAAAAGAAATAACTCATGAAAAAACGTTTCTTGTTTCTTGATCAAAAGCCTTTCCTTATCTATAATTCCACAAAATTTATCAAGCTCTCGAATTTCATAAGAGCCGATGTGGAAATATTATGAAACTAAACCATTCACCTAACAAGCACAGTGAATCAATGATAACTGTTGTGTAAGTTTTTTGATCCTATTTAAAAAAAAAAAAAAAAAGCAAAATACTTTACAATATTTTCCCAAGAGGTCTCAATTCCTTTGGCAGGCCATCAAAATTGCCAGAATTTACGTCTGATTGTAGCATTGGCCTCTTCCCAATTTTCCAAACAAGTCCCTCCGCTAGATGCTCTTTGTTTGGTGTTAGCATGATGAAATTTGGATCAGCTCTTTGGTAACTGGAAAACAATGGGAGTTCAGACAATACAGTATATTAGTGATGCAAAAAGTTCCAAAAGATAAGGTTTTCTTTTTAAAAAATTAAAAGAAAACAGGATATTAACTGATGAACTAAGCCAATTGTAATATTGGAAATTTCAATGGCCAAGAAACCAGAGGGTCCAAAATTTTCTAATTTACTACAGATATTTTAACCATATATGGTGGGTCAAAGACCTTTAATCATCACTAGTAACCATATCTGAACATGTGAGCTAAAATAGGACAGAAAGTAAACAAATGAACCTGGCCTCCCTAAGATTGTCAATGCGAATTCCAAACCCATAAGATGTCTTCCCAATGGCACGATCTCTAGTAGCTGCAAAACATTGAAAAAGCAAGTAGCAGAGTTATATGCATTGGATTCAAGCTGATTCTATCTTATTCAATTCCTACATCTTAATTATTTGGTGAATAAAAGCTAGTAATAGTTGACATATTTAACACGTACGGTTTTTTGATAGAAAAAAGAAGATATATTAAGGTAAGAGGAAAAAGATACAAAGAAAGGGGAAAGAGACAACCTCCAGAAGTTACCAACAATAGTAAGCCAAAATATAAACAAATAAGATATATAAAGAATATACTAAATTAATGACTGAAAATAATAATCTCCCAGTTCTGATGGAGTTCAAACTAGGCAGGTCAGGGAATTTCCCGTGCACTTTGACCCATAATGATATCAAAACAGTAAACCTATCCCTTATCTCATGGAAAGATGTACTTCAGTCGTAAAAAAATTTCCAATTTCGTACAAGCTGCATTGTCCATAAACCAGCAAGATAGCCTCTGACCACAAAGGTTTCACTTCCCTTCTCACTCCACCCTTAATATACACCCTAAGAGGCTTTCAAACTGTATGAGTGACCCCTATAATGTCAAAAAGAGCTAACTATTTAGTCCAAAGCTTCCAAGCAACTTCGCAATGGAGAAATAAATGGGAGCTTGTCTCTTGTCGTTCAAAGCAATATTGACACATAATTTTATCAAATATAGTTCTATCTTCAATTCCACAATGGTGAATTTGTGCTTCCACTTGTCAAGAAATGAATCACGAAAACAACTTGAATTGATTATAAAATATGACCTGGAATTAAATTTCAACTTTTTTTTTTTTCAAATTTCTACTGCATTTGAATTGTATTTCCATTCTTATTTTCTGGAATTAAAAATTCAACCAGACATAATTATGTATATGTAGGATTAGGAACACTGCATTTACTCTTGAATTTAAGCACAGAGAAACTTCAGAACCAGCAAAAGATCAATTTAGAGGTACCTGAAATACTAAAAGTGAAAGACGGTTTCCACCATGACTTGAATGCCATCGCTACTGTGGAGCTCAGGGGTCCCATCTTCCCCTGCAAAGGAAAAATACAGATATCCCAAACAAGTTATCATACGTTTTTAAGAAAAAATATGCCAACAGTATAAGGAAAAGAGTGCATCAGAAGCATTTGTATCACCTTCAGCAGAAAGTTTTTATTGGCTTGCCAGGAAGCAGCTACTTGAAATGTGGAATCCGGGATGTTGTTTGATGTGTTGACATCATCAACCCTTCAAACATAAATACAAAAATAAGATGCTATCACATTGCTCTACTGTTAATTTCCGCTCTTAGAGTACCTTGTTTGTAGCTCAAAGCCAAAGTCAATATAATTAGTAATTCCTACTACTTCATTTTCTTCCAAGGGGTTCTTCACCTGTTTCATTGTGGGAAAATGCTTTAAGCAACATGTCATAACCCGGGCAGAGGGAAAAGCGAGAAAAAAGCAAGGCTTTTTTAAAGAAACATAAAATGAAGATAAAAATTTCTAATCATAAGCAGCAATAAGTTATAGTGAAGTTAGCTTACCATGAACAATTTCTTCAATGTGCTCTGTGACCTAGAGCATAGAACCTTTATTTCAAATTATGATGACATGCAGAGTCAAGATCTCAAGAACCCCAAAGTTTTGAATATATCGAAGTTGAGACAAGCTACAATAAGTTTTCTCAGATATTTATTATTTGACCACTCCACGAATAGATACCAAATGCTATAGAAATAGTTGCCATAACATGTCAATAACTCCTCTCAGTTCTGATTTTATATCCTTGTACAACATATTAAATTACTTATCACACTCCTAAGAAACATAGCCTAAGTTAGCATTTGTCACTAGAAGGAAACAAAAATTATAGAACTAAGTACAGATTGTCTAAGGCAAGAAAGATATTAGGTGCATTTGGTGTATACGGAACTGAACTAAATAATTTTTTTCTGTTGTATGTTTGGTAACCAATGAATTACTGTAACACCTGATATGTTGACTCAAGTTTAGTTGTTAATTTTTTAATAATTGAACAATAAATCATTGTACATAATACACTAATTTTGATATTTAAGATATAAAATTATTATTTCATTTTAGTTCCAATAACAACAGTAGTAATATGATTAATTTTTTAATTGGTTAGTAATTAACTTATTACAGAAATAATATTAATAAAAAATAATAATCACAAGATATATTAAATATATAACTATTATATAATAAATATATTTAAATAATGTAAACGAGGTAGCAATTAAGCACAAAAAGAATATCTTATGAGAGAACAGGATTAATAATTTTAACTACAAAAGTAATCTTCAATGAGAGGAAATGTTAATAAAAATTAGTAATCACATGAAAAGTAAAATTATTAATTTTATTTTAATCAATTAATATAATCACAATAAAAAGTAAAAATAAATTAATACTTTCTACTTTTTTAGCAAAAATAAATAATTATCCTTCATTTACACGAGAAAAAAGGATAAAATAGTAATTTAATTTTGTTTAAGAAAGACCATAAATTGGTCTCATCAAGGAACTGTCCAGAAAGTGAGAGAAGGTAGTGTGATACTTTCCCATAAAGACATAATAGCCAATTATTAAATTTCAACAGGAAATATGTAAGGCCATTTTTGTAATTTAATGAACATGAATAAAAAATTATATCAAAAAAAGGAAAGAAAAAACAAAATAGCACGTGAAATCATGAAAAATTGAGATGAGTAGTCTCGTGTCTTTTTTTTTTTTTTTTTTCATTAAGAGCACTTTGTTTCTAACCATAAAAGATAAAAAGATTAGAAAAATTTTGTAAATTCAAATGATGATAAATTAGAAACTCGGAAAACCCATAAACTGACACATAGCACTGTTAAAAAGACAGGAAAATAAGGAAAATTAAAAAAATATGATAACGCCACCAAATGCCACATGTTTTTATCATTTATTAAAGTAAATAAACAATACATAAAATTTTACAAAATGCCATGTGGCCAGAATAAGGTAGGTATGTGAGATTTGTTTTAAATGGTATCCCAGGGGATTTATGTTATATAAGAACAAGTTTAGCTAGGAATGCAAGGGAAATATTGGATAATTCAAAAAAATATTAACTCTTATTTTGGAACAATTTAGTCCCACGGTTAGGAGGGTCCTAAAATTATTCCTCAAACAATAGACTTTTGTTTTATCTTAACTTTTCTGTTTTCTCATGAAAGCAAGACACTTTTGTGATGTCCATTCCCTGTGTTTTCACTACCCCTAAATGCTGCCTAAGTTCGAAATAGGAGTCCCTTCTCATATTACTGCTTGTTCTTCCAAACAGTAAACTGTAATCATCACCAAATTTTTAGTTAAGGTTCCCAATAAAAATGTCAATTCCATTTGACCAACAGAGGCATCAGGACCACAGCACTTCAACATTCTTTATTGCTTTGACAAGAAAATAAGAAAAAAAACTATGGTAGCAGCCTTTTAGTATTTTCAACTTTCTTCTACATGAAAATCAACTGCAAGTAAATTTTTGAAAGTGCAAGAACAGCCTGACAGAAAATCATAAAAAGTAATGACACCAGATAATATCGTATGAATAAACTAACATTAATTCTAACTTATCTCTGGTTGATCGCTTGCTATATATATCCTACTCGTGTTTACAGAGTGAAATGTCATATTTGGTCATTGTCTTTCCTTTTTATGCTGAGTTCCAAAGCATCATCTTCTTGACCCCTGAAATTTGGGCTCAAACCTAACCCACTGGCATCCCGAAATCACCCAGCCAAAAGAAACAATTTTTTTTTCCTAGTCTATCTCATGAGTTGTTTAATCGATTAAGCATATGAATCAACCAGCCGCAGATATGTAAAACACATTCATAAATATACTCATTTGAAAAATCAAATGGAACATGGTTGTGTCTGTGTCACAACATAACTAAAAATATCTGGGAATTAATTATTTTAAAAAAATCAGGGAATTAATTCACTCTCCAAAAATCAGGACAATCTAACAGAAAAGATATTCATACCCGTCTTTGGACCACCACATGTTGATAAAAGGAGGCAATGAACTGCAGTTGAAAATTAGAAAATAAAATTTCAGTTAGCTGCATGACATATTCTCAATCATAACATTTACTAATCACTTAGGAATGTAGGTATCTGATGCTAGTGACTAGAAGTTTGAAATATGATTCTGGACAAACTTAGAAATCCTGTTGAGAGCATCTTGCACTGATTTCAACGCAGACCACTTCCAAATTGCATTTTTTTTCGTGCAATGCTTCGAAGTGGAAACCATGTCAATAAGAACATAACTTTTTCCTATTATGTATTACTAATTTTATCCTGTACATGTAAGGTTGAAGAAAATTACTATACAGCCACTTTGCATTTCATTTAGATTAAAAGGTTGAAGAAAATTACTCTACAGCCACTTTGCATTTCATTTAGATTAAAAGCTTGAAATTAACACAGATACATAATGCGATAGAAAAGACTGTAAGGAAAATGCAGATCTACAATTGAACAGAACTATGAAGACAGGTTCTTAAAGAAAGAAGTATGAAAGGATAACCTGAGAGCTTTTGGCAAGTTCAAGGCCGAAATTGAAAGAAGGGCTCAAGGGACTGCCTGATCCTACCCCATAGCCAATTGCACAGCTCCAGTTCATTAAATTTTTATACTTTGCACCATCCTTATCTCCATCTAATAAAATAACATGCATAAAACATAAATACAAGTCATATTAATTCTTTTTTTTTTCCCTAAGATCTTCCACAATTCCAAGGAAATAATCTGGTAAATCCTAAGCTTTTCAAATCACTCTTAGCATGGCAAGGAAGTCAACATAAGAAAGAACAAAAAGCTGATAGTTTAAAAACTTACATTGTGGCTCATACTGCACTCCAACAGTCACTCTTCCTACCTTGCTTACCAGCCATGCATTCTTTGGTAACTCATCCTTCACTGCATGGTACAGGAACTTTGTAGTAACAATTGTTTGGGCACACTCTTTGTTCAGATTTACTATTTACAAAATATAACTAAGAAAATATAGATTCCTTATAAAAAAAAAAAAGATGATACCACCTCCAACTTTCAGAGTCCAGTATATCAAGGCAAGCACAGATCTGGTATTATTTCATTTTGGAAATTGGATGTAATATTCGGATCCGGAATTTGGCCCGTAATCAATTTTCGTATTATAAAAATAATTAAAAATATTAGTTAATTTAATTTTATTAAATTATTTGAGAAAAATAGGTTAATAACGTAATTTAAAGCAATTTTAGAAAAAAATTGGTGAAAATTTGAGTTTAGGAGATGTTTTTGAAAGAAAAATTAGAAATAGAGAGACAAATGCAAAAAAGGAAAACTTGGCTACGTGGGGCGGCTCAGTCAGCAGCCCCGACGAAACAGAGCATGCCGTGTGACAAAACACGCTAATGTCGGTGCCACGCAGGCGATCCACGCGCTCAGAAATCCAACAGCCCAGATTTGATCCCGTGCGCGTGAACAGCTCAAATGCATTCCCTCCTTAGGCGTGATCGGACATACGAGATCAATCGCGATG